GGGCGGAGAGCTCTGGCGAAGCGGGTCGCCTGCCGCACGGAGCCCTCCGCAGCTTAGCTTGCCCCTTCTGGCCCGTCTGCATCTACTCAAGCGCGGGTGTCGCCGTCAGGCTGTGTGCCTTCAGCCGCTGGGTGCTGCCCCTAGCCCTCCTTGTTGCCGGGTAGCTGGGATGGCAGGTTGCGTCTGCACTCGCCGGAAAGAAAGGGCTGTCTTGGGTGTGCTTCGTTTCATGTTTTACCTTTAAAAGTGGTTAAAATAATCGGCAGCAGTACTTTTAGTTGTATGAGTTAGGTACCGCTGGCCGGTGAGCTCTGTCACCGGGGCTTTCGTAACAAGGAGATGGTCTGCCGGGCGTGAGAAGCGAATTTGGTACCAGAGCTCTCACATGCGAAACCGAAGGCCGCATTATCATCCTGCCAAGAGCCCCAGGCAGCGCCCTGTTTGCATATCAATGTACAGGCTCCAGCAACCGGAATTCCTTGCTCGTTCCTATCTCTCATACTAGAGATACAAGCTATTTGTGGCAAGTTCAGCAGCGGTGGAGCCTTGCAGCAGGTCACTTCTGTTTGCATCTTGCAGGCAAAAGGAATGCAGGTGTTTGCCTTCCTCTGCATGTGATGGGTAGTTTGGGGCTCTGTTTTAATACATTATAATTTAGTTTAGTACTGCCTGTTTAGTCTCAGCTTCTGGTTTTCGTGCCAAGCTAGAAGGTGTTGGAAGGTGATGAATCAGTGGACCAGCAAAAGGCCTTCATGGTCAAGTTCTCCTTTTATTTAAGAGGGTTTTATCCAGTAGGAAGGTTTTATCCCATGATTATCAGGATGAAATTAACTTGTGTAAGAGCTTGTATTTAGGGGAGGTACTTGAGAGAGTTAATGAAGTTGCATTGATGCCTGAAGTATGGACTGGATTACGCACGTTACATTTCCGCCTTGTGTGTCAGCCACCACTGACACCGCTCTGTATGTTTGGGATTGTCCCAAACTCCGTGGCGCAAGTCTAGATGGTGTGTAAGTGCAGTGGCTGCATTTCCATCCCTTCTCCGGCACCTGGGACAGTCTGTGATGCTCCTTGCCCCTACCAGGGATGCTGAAATGTCTGGAATTGCCTTTTATGAGCTTCTCTTTGTCTGGTGCCTTTTGGTGTGCAGGACTGAAAAGGAACTGCCGGGTCATGAGCAGGCTCCTGCAGTTGTTTCTCACTCGGCTGCACATGCAGAGCCCAGAGGAATGCTGAACAAAGGTCTGTTTCGTGCCCTTCCTGCTCTTGACATCCTCTCCTATCTCTGCATCCCATTACAAGCTTAACTGCCCTGCAAGTTTATGTTCCTCTGCATTAGCATCATGCTTCACCAAATAAGTTGTAGGAAGAGCTGGCCTGTGAGGGTGAACACCGCTGGCATATGCCAGGTTCACTGTTGCCAGTTGCCTTGATTTGGGGATTCTGTCAAATGTGGAGAAACTAGAATCAGCTGTCATGCAGTAATGCTGTGCTGGCTTCCCAGTTGTTAGAAGACTGTCGCTTAACACATCTGTGAGTTGTTGGGTTTGTAGGTCTGTGCTGCTGTGCCTTGTAGAGTCACTGTGCTGCATGCTGTATGCTCAGAACGTGGTGGCAGAGCCATGAACAGCGCTAGGCTTTTGGTGGCCTCAGAGGGTTTATGCAACTTCACCTCATGTGAAGACAGGTGTTTGGGATTCGCAGTGAAATCAGTTGGTTTTTAAAGGGTCTTACACATCAGCTCAACCTACTCATTGCACCTGAGGCAATGTTAGCACTCCTGCTTTTGACTAGCTGTCCTTCACTGGTTTTATGTGTGAAAAGCATATGACAGACACTATGTCTGCCATGTGAGCAGAGATAATAAAACATAGTCACACATTGTTTGTTTTTTTTGTTTCTAAGGAATGCTGAAAGGTTAAATTTTCTGAGTTTTTCTGTTCTCCTACGTGTTGAAGAGTCACTGTAGGTCCTCATGAGAGGATAAGAAATGTTGCATATTGTGTTCATGTTTAAACTTGTGTTGGGATCTTCTTGCTACCAGGAATAGAATTCGCTTACCTTCTGCATAACCTCAGTCAATAAGGTACCTGTTCCTGGCGAACCATGGCTGAACCAGAGAGGTTCTGGGAGTCAACTGAGAAACTGCAGTGACTTTGTAACTTACATTAAACTTTTTGAATCAGCTCTGGTATAAGGAATTTGCATGAGTATAATTTGAAGTGGCTTCTTAGCTGATTTAGCTTAACCAGTACAAGAGGTTCAGTGAACACTCTTCCTGTGTCAGAATAGCTTATTTTGGGTCAGGTAAACAAATAGAACTGATGTCGTTCTACAAAAAGGAACAGCGTCTTAGTATTCCCTTATTTTATGAAGATAATTGAAAAAAAAAATCTTTGATTGGACCCTGGGAAGTCTCCTGCAAATGAGCTGAGTTTAGCTTATTGGTTACCTGTTCACTCCATGCCTCACACCATGGGAAATCATGCTTTATTTATGTGCAGAGCATTTAAAAACAACTGGGTAACTGCTTTCAACTTGCTTTGCATGGTGGAAACAAATACAGAAATACGGCAGGAGGTGAGGGAGATTTTACGTCAGACTTTGAAGATGTAAAATGAGTGGACTCTTTCCTAATAAGTGCAAATAATGATCTGTTAATGGTATAATGATGATCATTTCAATACTGAATTAACATTGGGTGAAAGAAAAGCACTTCCATATGGATACATGCACGTTACTGTTGAGTAAGTTGGGGGTGTAAAGTTTAACAGCATTCAGTATATCTGCTGCTTTAACTGTGCACCCATTTTCCTTGAAACAGGAACAAAGCTAATCTCCCTTACCTAATGAGGTGATGCTGAGTGATTAGCTTGGACAGTTACTGTGCAACACATGATATGCTGTAAGCTGATGCCCTGGTTTGCCTTGCTGTAATTTGTATGTTGTTCCCAGCCATGAAAGAAATGTGGAAAACACACAGGAGACACTTTTTTTTTTTATATATATATATATATGTGTGTGTGTGTGTGTGTGTGTGTGTATTAAAAAAAGAAGTCTAATGCTTCATGATCTCTTGTGATGCCTATTTGACGTGACAAGCTTCTGACTTTGATGGAAGAGTCTTGGCAGTTTGGGCCCAGAGCTCTGAATAGCAAAACAAGAAAACATCTGGTCTCTGTTGCTGTTTTAGAAACACTAGAAGACTAATTAGTTGCATAACCACTAATATATAATAATATGTACAGTGAACTCAAATAAGTACCAGAAATGTAGGGATGTTTGACTGTTGTCTTGTAATGACCCACCTACCTGTGTGGCTGAGACTGCATTTGAGTTACTTACCCTAACACCTGTCAAAATGCAACTTGCTTTTTATGCACCACTTTATTAAGAAGTGCTAATGCCCTGTTTGCTGGTATGTGCTGTGGTTTGTTTATGCCTAAAAATATGTTCTTGAGTGACAGATCGAAGTTCCTGCTTATTTCAGAAGGCATTGCCCTAATTGGGGGTTTAAAGTGAAGCTGCCAGGGAAACAATTACTTTGATCTTGAAAGAAAAGGTGATGTTATTTTGAAGTAGCAGGGTAGAAGTAGGTTAAATTTAATGTGCTGTCTTTCTCTTTTTGCAGCATGCAAGTCACTTAATTTTTAGCTGTAGGTCTATATAAATGTGGCTCTTGTCTTGTGAACAAGTGGAACAGATATTGGGTGCTCTTGGACTGGGGGCATGTTTTTGTGTGTTTGGTTAGTTGGAGCCTCTTTTATTTGTACCATAGAAATTCCAGCAATTGCAAGTTGAGAGCATGTTTGGAAATTGAACCACTGTTTTAACTACACAGCTGAGTGAAGATGTGGAGCGAGTATCTGAAAACCCAACAGATGAGAGGGAAGGAGAGATGGAAGTTCATGAAGATGCCAGCTCTGTTATTTTACCAGGTGAGAACTATTGACCCAGAAATTACCAATTTTAAGTGCCTGATAAGCTGTTTCTGTGGGTGGGTTTGGTTGGGTTTTTTTTTTTTATTGCACTTCTGAAAGCAAACAAAACACTAAATTACTTATTTTGTGGAATAAGTGCTGATGGAGAGCCAAGGAGTTTTTCTGAGGATTGAGATGAGAACATTTCTTTGTCATGAACTGTGCTCAATCAAAAAAGATTCAGCACATCTGGTTCTGAGGTAGCTTAGTATGTATCTTCCTTTATATTGTATCTTACCTGAGTTGCGGTGTCATGATGGCAGTGGATTGCAAGCAAAGTCTGTGCCAGATTTACATGAGCAAGGTGCAATACTGAACAGATGTGCTTTTAAACAGATTTTAGTTAGACTGTTTGGACCTGCTTTTGGAGGATGCGGGGCAGTGTTAAATGAGCTTATTGCAGCTCAGATGTAGGCATTAAGGTAAGCCAACCTGAAATGAGTATCCCCTAAATGCTTTGCAGCTGTTCAAGACATACTTGTTTCAATAGTGCAATTTTATGCATATTAATGTCCTAATTTCCTTGGCTGCCGTCTCCTGGCAACGAACTTGGGAACACGTGTGTGACCGTGGACTTTTGTAAGAGGTTATGTGTTCAATAGGATTTACTAAAAGGTTAGTGTTTGCTGTGGTAAGGAACAAACACCAAACCGTGCTATTACAGTTGAAGGGCAGAGTGTGGCATGGCCTGAGAGGGCCTGACTCATTAGATTGCACCACACAGAAAAGTCAGCGTAAAATATGCCTACTTATCTGCTTTTGTATGTTGGGTTTTAATGCTCCTTTTGCGTGTTCAGCTGCATATCGCTCACAATCAAAACATGACGTGTAACTGAAGAGTACATGAACTTTTTCCTTAAAAGTATTGCCAAAAGAAATGGCGAATGCAAGGAGTATGGGGAAGGCAGTGTCTGTGTACAAGTGAGGCAAGTGTGAAGATCTTCAGAGAATAAGTTTTGAAGGCAAGGAGACTGTGAGAGAATTGGGTTGGTCTTTTTTCTACCTGTAATTGGAAGAATCCTTTTGTGAAACTTTATGTAGTATGCACAAGGAGTTAGGAACTAGAGTCCAAAAATGGGAAGGTAACAAATATCTAGTGACTCATACCATGGTGGAGATGCAATGTGGATAGCTGTGTAAGAGCATTAGAATGTTAAATCTCTCCGCTGATGCATATGCTGAGTGTGTAAGAACCACTTCAGAGTGGGAAGGGGGAAAGGAGTTGTTTTTTTCCAGGAGGAAAGATTGACCATCAACAGACTTTTTTCGTATGAACTTTGAACTTTGTTTCTGAGTTGTCCTTCTTGAAAATAAACCTTGTTTCTTGCCTGCCGTGTCCTTAAGCAGAGTTCCAAATTCAACATGTGAAAAAGAGGCACAAAGGCACAATCTTTGGCCTCTTTGGAGAAGGAAGCATCTGTCTGACTGATGATCAAAACCATCACCAAAAGCAATAGTTGTGGGTTTTTTAAATCAAACTGAGTTGGAGGCTTACTTTCCTCTCAAGGGATTGATCTTTGAACGAACACTACATAAATTCAGCCCAAATATCTGTATTTTAAAGTCTTAATCCATATTCTGTTTGGTTCCAGGTAGCGAACTGGGTACCACTGCCCCTTCTTTGCGTTTCAGCAAGACCTGCCTAAAGAATGTTTTTTCAGTAATTCTCCTGTTTATTTATCTGCTGCTCATGGCTGTAGCTGTGTTCCTTGTCTACCAAACCATCAGCGACTTCAGGGAGAAGCTCAAGCACCCAGTGATGTCTGTCTCTTACAAGGAAGTGTCCTTGTACGATGCACCTGGTAAGACTGGTAACAAACAAAATGGATTAAGTTGTTGTTCACAATTATCTTGGATCGTTTTACGTTTTTGGTGTTGATACTACAGGGCCCAGAGTGCATATAATGCTTTGACTCAGGTCTTTCACTTCCTCTTTTCTAATTTATGTTGTGTTAACTTTGCATGGAAATGTTAATATGGGAGGACAATTTTGGGGACATTTTGGGGGTTTTCATGCCAATAACATGAATGACAGTAGCTGCGGAGCATCATGCAACATTTGGTAGATGGGAAGTGTTTGCAGACTCTAGAACGACTCGTCTTACAGGGAAAGAAGATAATTCCTTGTGGAAATATTCCCAAAACTGTATCGTTCAAACAGGGCAGCACGTGGGACCTCAGTGCTGCACTGGACCGTGAGATGCTGTTGACAGTAAAGAAGGTGAATTTCTCAAACCAACCACAAAATAACCACAGTGCCACTTTCTGCTTCTGTTCTGCATTGTTTACAACTTGGTATTACATCAGTAGGCAATGAAAACGTGATGTGACTGCAGGGAACAATGTTGGCATAAAAATGCAGTGTGGCATCCAAAAACTGTGTTGCAGTTTGCAGGAGGGATTACGCCACAGAAGCATTTTTGAATAGTGAGTTCTATCATTATTTTTTTAAATTATCCATTTATAACCATTCATAAATAGAGTTGCGGTAGCAAATGCAACTCAAACAGTCATAGGTCAGTTTCTAATTTAAAAATAACACTTTTGTTTGAAGTGTTACCACATTTTACAAATTACCACTCCAGTAATTGTGGCTGAAAGGTGAGTGTTTCAAGTTGTTGCCATATTCCTGTAGTTGTTTTTCTGTATGGTCAGTTAGGCTCAGCTCTGTAAGTAGGTCCTTGCGTTGGGACCGTATGGATCTGACTGTAAGAGCAGGCTTTCCCCCTTATTTTTTTTTCACGTGAGCTTTTCATACAGCAACAGGAAGAAAAGGTCATTTAAAGAAGCAGAGCAACATACATATAAATCCAAAAGCATTGGCGGGGATCCCTGCCAGATCAAAGAACCTAAATTAATGCAGCCCTTTACTTCATTGCTCCATTAAAGTGATGAAATGGCAAGTTGCAAGCATGGAGCACTGAAGAAAGGGATAAAGCATTTTGATTGATATGTGCTGACTGCTTTGATGGCTCACATTTTGGCAGACAGGTCATCTCAATTGTGTGAGTTAATCATATCTAATAAATCATACTTTTTTTCATAGTTGGTCTAGATTATCTTCAAGCAAGCTTGTTTCCAATACTGGATGTGGCATAACAGGATTTTGGGTTTTGGGCCTTTTATTTTGCTAGCCTTCTACAACTGAGGTGACTGAGGTTTTTTTTTAATGCATGCTGTTGGTATCTATGGTATATATGAATTTCCATACAGGTGAAGTAGTAGCCTGCCTACCTAGTGATATAAGTAATAAGGGATGGTAACAGTTAGTATTTGTCTGATGGCTTTGATTTTTATTGTGACATTGTCTTCAGGGAACAGAAGATGCTAGATGTTCTGAAGAGCATCTTTTCACTTTTATTAGATCAGCCAGTGATCTTTGATCTGTCATGTATAGTACATACATTATTTCCAATTAAAATTTGACATGTTAAATGATAATATCTGAAAACATGTACATGCTGAAGCGCTACATGTCCCATTTGACTTCAGTAGTCTCCTAACTTAGGTTACACGTTCATTTCATTTGCGGCCAGAGGGACTGATGTATTAGCTGCTGGCTTGTGGGAAGACTAGGGAAACGTAGTAGCTTCTGTGAACCTTGAATCATCGTAACAGAACATGAACCCTGATTTTTTTCAATGCTGGCGCTATTGTCTTGCTCCAGAAAAATGCTGGAGCATGTGGTTTAATTTGATTGTTTTGCTGGATCTTGATGATAGCTCAGCATCCTGTGGGATTAAATCCCAGAATGAAAATCTATGTACTTAGGAATGAAATCAGCTCTCTTCAATGTTTTTTCTCCCAAAACAGGTATTGCCTTTTACCCAGGCAAGGCTCAGCTGCTTAGCTGCAAGCATCATTACTACGATCACATTCCACCTCTGATAAATCCAGGTCAGCCAGGAGACATTGAATGCACCACTCAGAGAATCAACTACACAGATCCTTTTACTAATCAAACTATGGTAATAATAATATAATAGAACAAAGCTTATTCAGTGGGGGTTTTCTGCTCGTAATGGTATTTGAAAGTAAAAATATTTACTTAGTGCTACAAAAAATCCTTGCTTCTAGTTTTTTTCAAGCCATCTGTCCTTTTGTTTTCAGAAATGTAAAAGACCCTGTTCCAGTGTGTATATGTGTTATGGATGATGAGCTGTCATGTGGGTGTGTGCAGCATGAAAACCTCAATGGGACAAAATAAGTCATTTTTCACAATGAAACTTTCACTTCATTCCTCTCCTAAATGAACTGGCAAGCGTACTCCATGATATAGTAAATCTAGCTTTGATTTGAAGCAGTAGCAGTTATTCCATTAAAGCAGGATAGCTTATCTCTTTTTGTGTGTTTTCTGGGAATTACATACTATTTTTATTACACTTGGAAAAATCTTAACTGGGCACCAAGCGTTTCATTATACTGAAATGCTGTGAGCTAATAAGATGGGAACATTGAGTGATAGTCTGTCTTAAATTGCCCTTAGAAATGCAGGGAATCTAGCTTCTCTATAAATAAATGTTCAAAAAAAAAAGTATTAAATACAGTCATTTGTATCCAAAGCGATTGCTGAGATTGTTTTCAAGGAAACTAGACGTGAACAAACAAACAGTCTGGGTACCTGTTTGGTCAGCTTTTTTCCTCTTCATGTTTTGCCTTTTGTCTAGTCACCATTTCTTTCTGGGAAGCAGCTCCTTAGTATATTTGAAAGTAATATTCTGGGTGCACGTCTAATTTGATTTCTGCCACTAATATGCTCTTTTTGCATGTTTTAACAAACTAGGAACCTGCATTTTATGCTGTGTGGTAGATTCATTTAGAAGCTCGCTGATCCAGTAGGCTCTAGTCCTGCAGTGGAATGGAGAGGCACTGAGGCAGAGACCTCTGAACTGTGTAGAGTCCTGTTCAAATTGGCTGAGTCCTTTTGCAAGCAGCAGTTTGCTGTTGATACAATGCCTGCACTACTTTAAGTTGTATTCTGCCTGCTAGCATCTTTTGTTGGGTTTTTTTTTCCCCTTTCAGCAGCTTGCTTTAGGTGCTGGGGGCTGTGAAACTGTTCCTCTTTCTCAAGGAGAAGCCTGATGTTCTCCACATCAGACTCTACATTAACTTGTTTCATGTCAAGTGCTGAAAGTTCCTAGACAGTTTTGATTGTCTTTCTGGAGAATGCAGGTTGCAGGGCCTTGACTAGTAATTCCACATGAACCCAAAGGACTATGATAGAACTAAAGCAGATTTCTTAAAAAACCCACTAAATCTTGATGTAAAGGCTTGATTTTTAAACTGAAAGGAGGGATTCAATTAGCATTCTCATTAGATATTTTAGTAGACATACACTTAGTAGCGGCCAAGAAAATCTCGGTGTGTATTAGATTCCTATAGAGTATTAGTGGCAGATGGCAAATTCATGAACAGGAAATGAGGATTCCTTTGCTACTCTCACCTTCTCTCTGTTTGCTTACAGAAGTATGCTTTGGTTGTTCAAGGCCCTCGTGATGTGAAGAAAAAGGAACTGGTGTTTTTGCAGTTTCATTTAAATGGAACAGACCAAGATTTTAGTGCCATTGACTACCTTCTGTTTTCTTCTTTCCAAGAGTTCATCAACAGGTATGTAAAGGGATGGGCCTGTAACTGCATTGAACTTGCTACAACAGTACTAGTGAAAGCAGGGCTTTTTTTGGTAAAAATCAGACAGGCTTTTATATTCTCTCTCTCTCTTTTTTTTTTTTTTTTTTTTTTTTAATGTTTGCGTTACATTGGTGATCTTTCATGTCTTAGGTTACTAATCTTACTTTTTAGAAAATGGATTGAGGACTTTTTCAGTGACAAAAACCGCCCTTCAGCTATGCTTCAGCCATTTGTTGCTGCACTTTCTACAAGTTTGAAGTTTGTGCTGGCTCACTGCTGTCTGCTGCTGTGGATGATAAGGAAGTGTGCTGTCCTGGGCAGTGTGCTCAGGAAGTGCACTGAGAACACTAATGTTTCTGTCTCTTTTTTTTTTTTTTTTTTCCTTAAAAAGCAATTACTGTAAAGATCAGATCCCTAGATTGATTTGTTGTGATTTCGTTGAAAGATTAACTATATTTCTTTGTATTACTAGCTTTATGTAAGATTCTACAGAATGATGTAATTTCATAGACGGGGTTTTCAAAATTGCTTTGTATTGGTTTCACATTGGTGCCATTGGAGTGACTGATCAACCTTCTTCTAATTTTAACAGGAGTGGAATTAATCCTGTCTTGAACTTTCTTGAAAGCCCCACCCTTTTTCCCACCTTATGAGAATAAATTCCATACTTAACTGTTTAATTTTTGCTTCAATTTAAATTCAAGTTCTGATCTTCTCTCTGTCATCCAGATTAAAAGCTAGACAAGAGATATTAGTCACAGTGAGACCTAATAGAAAGCCTTAATTTGGTAATAGTCAAATGCTGAGTGAAAAAGAGACAGGGGATAAAGGTCATATGCAGAACAAAATTAGGTGAGGGGTGAGGGAGGGGAAGAGAAATAACAGATTTTATCGTAACAAAGCATTCTTGGAGGCTTGGACATGATCATACTGGTGCTTTTCATATGGAGCAAAGACTGGAAGTGTTTGGTCACAGTATCTCTGAGTGGCCAAAGACCAATTATCTGAATTTGCTTTTTACAAAGCATTTCTGCATCAGTGAAGGAGAGATCTTAAGTCATTAAATAGTTTCTGTAACTGTACTAAAACACCTCATAAAATGCTAATGTTCCAGGTATTTTAAGCATTGATATTTTAGGGTGAGAAAATACCAGTTAAGAGTAGTGATGTAGAAGGTGCTACCTTGTTCCTTCTGTATTGTTTTTTCTCAGTTTTTGTGGCTTGTGCCACAGTTAGCGGTATGTGCGGTGGAACCGATTCCAGCAAGGTGCACGGCTGTTTTGTACTTCAAGATACAAGCACTGAGACCACTCCCTGTGAAACAGAGCAGGAGGCACAGTTGTGTTGCATCTGGTTCCTGGCTCTTTGCAGAATGAGCCAACTTACCAAGACACAAGTTAGTCTATGCATACTCAAGTCTTGGAAGCCACATTTCTGTGCTCATTGTATCAATTTGCAGATAAGCCATTTTAAAGAGCTGTTTCTTCCCAAGTTAAAACACGCATGTCCTACTTAAGTTGGCAGAATTTCTGCAAGCAAGCTGCAAGTCTGCATGCTGCTGTCCCAAACGCTTGTGCCACATGTTGTGCAAAGGGAAGTTAGATGTGCAAAGCAGCAATAAGCAGTATTGCAAAGGTCCTAGCTTTAAGGCTGTATTTGTGTCAGTGTAGGTGAATCAGTAAGAATCATCTGTAAGCTGCCTGGGAGAAACCTAGATCGCAACCTCCTGCCTCCAGGTTTGCCAGGTCAAACCAGTTACATGGTAGAATGGATCCCTAAAGAGATGGGGAAGTGTTGCTTTGTTCCTAGAGAAGCTGCCTTGTCTCGGTGTTGGAAGACACCAGAACTGAAGCTGGGAGAGTGAAGGCTGAGCCTGAGTTACGTTTGGAGCAAAGTGAAAAGGTTGGAAATGGTGGTGTCTGTTTGAGGATGCATCCTTTGTGCCTGTTTGCAGCAGGTAGTAGGAATGCAAGTTAAAACTGGTTTTGAACTAACCCAGATAACAGTAAAATTGGCAAAGGTATATGCCATTAAACTTAGTAGTAAATGATCTACATGTCTAGGTGAAATACAGTAAGAAAACCAGTTGTGCGGAAGAGGCCAGGAGTGTCTCTTTTATAGCATCCTCCAAAGCTTGTACAAATTATATGGCTTGTCTTGCTCAGGATTGCGTATTGCTGTCCTGGCGTCCCGGGGCATGAACTGGACAGGCTCAGGACAGGTTGAAAGTTTACGTTTTCTCCTGACTATGAAGTGCATGTGAAACTGCATGCATACGTGGAATGTACTCATTCTGTCCAACTTCCAGCAGAAGAGAAAATAAAAATGATTTCTGGTTCATTAGCGGATGCTAAATTTAGTTGATGGGAAGTCTGGACTAAGATATCTGTAGAAACTGTTGTGTGTCCTTCCATACGGCCTCTAAAAACTTCAATTACTGACCGCTGTTAACTACTGTCCCTGACAAAGTGTCTCACTTACTGGTTATGAGAGCATATTATTAGCACTGTGTCCAGCAATTCATGTAAAGTGTTATCAAAGATGCTGAGATACATGCTAAAACCCGTGAGATATCATAATTATCTGTACAGTTTTTTGCCATGGCTGCAAACAGCTTAGGTTGGGCTGGGCAGGCAGACTGCTGTAAAATATATGTGTAGGGTATTCCATCACCTTAAATCACAATCCAAAACCCCTTGAAATTGGTGAGAAGAGTCCTGCTGTATCTATACCACTGTTTCTGTGTAGACAGTATTATGCGCAGCTCACTTTTGCTTTAAGTAGCAGTAATCATATCGGTGACGGCTGCTGCAAGCGTCAGCCATGAGCAATAATAAAAATGGCATCTAGAGACTTGTGTCTTTAAGGGTTTTTTGAGGCATAGCAAGTGGTGAGGACTCGAGCTAGGTCCAGTTGTTTCTGTCAAGGGTTTTATTCTCTGCAGCTCTTCTATTAAAATTGGATCGACAGACTACATGAAACTGGCACTGCTTGCTGGTTTTGTTCTGGCCTTCGGAGAATACTGCTGAACTGTGTGCTGTTGTTGGCCTGTGAGTTGGAGGGATACTGCCACTGGCTTTTTTCTTCTTCTTTCTTCTTTTTTTTTTTTTTTTTTTTTTAAGACAGTGGCAGCTGCTGTCTGTACCATATTAATTGGAGGGAAGGAAATAATGAAACCCTTGCAAATTACTAAAAAAGTGTAGCTAAAAATACAAGTTCCTTTCCTGAACTGTCATTAGTATAATACATGGGTTTAAGAAGAAAATCCTCTGAACATATTACTGCCAAACTATTGTTAGCGTAGCATGTAAAATAACTTACGGTCATGTGAGATGATGAATACCAGTCTGAACAGGTCAGAGATTATTTAAGGGTCTAAACAGAGCTCCATGTTCACATCTCTGGTCTGGATTGCTGCGTGCAGAGAAATAGATTATAATGTAGAAGGGGCAAGACTTTTGGTACCACACCATCTGACCCTTTATTAGATCCCATGGCTGACAGAGAGTTTCCCAGTCTAGGGAAAAGCAAAAGCAATAAACACAAATTGGGTTTGACCCATCTGTGGTTTTGGCTCTTGCTGTTGCGTTGGAATCTGTTGGTGGGACATCCTAAGCTGCCTTTGGCTCTTGTGGGTTGGTCTGTAGAGATCGGTGTTAGAAGGATCCGCTGCAGAGCTAGAGCCGAGTCCAAAATTAGATTAGCAACTCCCACAGTTGGGACAAATACAGCCTCTCGCGGTCTGACGTTGATCAGTCTGTGCTAGGGCAGTGGGCTCCCTGCTAGTCATTTGAACTGTCAGGAGTTACCAGAGAGCACTGGCTGAGGGGGGGACCAGGGCTTTGTAGTTCACCTGAGGGAGACAGTGGCCTCTTGCACTTCTCTTTCTGTGCTGTGCTTTAGGAATTTTTGCGTGGTCTTGAGGTACCATTAATATCTTGGGAGATCCTGGTGCAAAGTATTCCAGGAATCTTACCATACATCTAAAGGACAATGTAATAGGTGGAAGAACTTACTGAACAGAAAAAAGAAAATAAAATAATGTGCAGCTTTTGCAAGTTGTCTGTCTTTGGGTTGAAGAGGGAATTAAAAGAAACTGTCTGCCTGGAGAATTCTTCTTCAGATTAAAATCCCTTGCCTGTCTTGTGTTCACTTAGTTGTGTGTGGTTTTTAAGCTGCGTTATTTGCCCTCTGCTATCATTTGTGCAAAGCTTGTGCCTCTCTGCTTGCCCCCCGCTTTTTTTTTTTTTTTGCCTGACTCTGTGACAGTGGTCTGGATTATGGGCACATGATCTGAGAAGGCACTTTTCCACAGCTTCTCCTAAGATATTATTAATCTTTATTTTTCAAGCCTACAATTACTGTTGAAGTCAAAGTATACTACTGCTGTCTGCTTTCCATGTAAGTTGTGGCTGTAATGTTCAGCTCTGTGTCATAACTTCCTGCCTCAATTTTCCATGTTGGTTTGGAAAGCTTTTCTAGGATGTTGTATTTAGTCATGCATTAGGCATATGACTGGCTGGCAGAGTGCTAATTATGTATGTTCCCCTGAGTGGCAAAGCACCGTGCTCTTCCGCACTGTCCCATCAGCTGCTGCTGTACCCACTTCCCAAAGGGGGAAGAAATCATTATCAGATTAGGTCTCCCTGTGTCATTGGTTTGTATGGTGAGGAGCAGCCAGGCAGTGGGCTTTGTTCTGATGCTTCGCTCATGTCTTCCTTGTGAGGGTTAGAGAGGTGCACTGCCATCCTCTTGGGATCACTAAACAAGCAGCTAATGTCACAAATCCATAAAGATACTCCTAACCTGCTAAAACACTCTTGAATATCATCTGTCTTGATGGGTAGCAAAGTGCAGTAGTTTTTCTTTCCAGAAACGCTTTCCCTTTCTGTTTGTACGCACAATGGAGTTCTGTGTTTGAGCCCATCACCTGAAGCCCTGACTTGAGAGCAACCGCTTTGCTAGGTTTTGCCTTCCTATGAACATGTGCATATTCATCTATTAAGCCTGAGCAGGCAGTGTAGTACAGAGTAGCCATCAGTATGACACTCTTTTTACTAGTCTGTGCTCTTGCTGCCTTGTAGACAAGACATCTTGGTTTGCAGGAAGGAGCCCCAGTTCTGAAAACTAAGGAAAAAGACAGGAAAAGTGCACATCTACCCAGTGCTGGTACAGGACAAATCTTGCTGATTGGTCTGTTCTTTGGGACGAGAGCTTGCTTCTTCAGCTCTGGTTTTCTTCCGCACTTCTTTGCATCTTTCTTTGAAAGACCAAAATATCTTAATCTCCAAATAGACCTAGCCATGCACACCCTTTGCCATATGAGCAAAGAATACTCTTTCCTTTTACCTAGGAAGATAGATTTAATCTGAGTCAAACCCCTCTCCCTTTCCCTTGTCCCAAGGACCAGCATACCCTGACATATCTCTGCAACCTGAAATCTTTCTTTAGTAAAAATCAGCAGTCTGGGCTTTAATGATTCATGGCTCATCACGGTGGTTTACCCCTTCATCTCAAATGAAACCTTGTTGAAAAAGCAGCTGCAGGGCCAGGCTTATTTCATAGAGATGACATGAAAGTGGATAAAATCACAGTACTGAAGAGCTCCAAGTAAATAGCGTGGTTAATACACTGTCCTGTGCAATTGGTAGAGACAGGATGGAGACCAGATATGCCTTAGAGCTGGCTCTTTACCACTTGCGGCGTGAGGAGTATTGGAAGCCTTAAAATGGCTTATGGTCCCAGTATTAAAAAAAAAAAGACACAAAGCAATGCTGCTGTTCTGGGGCTACAAATATCTCTGATTGCATATTGGGAAAACAGCCATGTTATGGCAGATGGGAGCCTTACACCAAAGGTATAGTGTTCCTAAAATAATAGGAATACACTAAATGTAAATTTCAAAGCATTTTGAGTATGTCTGCATTGCAACCAATTTATTTGCATCCCAGAAATGGGGTGAAGCAGCCTGCCCTGCCTCTAGGCTGTTCCTTCCATCAGTAAAGTAATGGTCTTTTTCCTTTAGTCCAGAAAAAGCAGAATTCATGAAGGACTGTGAAAGTTCATACTCCAGCTGGAAGTTTTCCGGAGGCTTTCGAACTTGGGTCAAGATGTCCTTGGTGAAAACAAAAGAAGAAGATGGTAGTGAGACTGTTGAATTCAAACAAGAGGTAAAAAAATAAAATGAAATTAAAAAATCCTCAGGAAGAGTTTTTTGGGAATCTCTTTATTAGGAACTAGTTACTGCTACGGTTTTAATGATAACTGGCCAACAGAACCAGTTCTTGGGGCAAATAGCAGTGAGTTGGAAGAAGGATGGGTGGGTTGGTTGGTTAACTAAGTGAAACATCAGGAGCTTGTTTTTTGTTTCATTGCATCCATTACGCCACTTGCCACGGAGCAGTTTTGGCTGTACAGTTACTTGCATTCTGTCTTAACATGGAGAGGTTCTGTAAAAGCGTAAATGTCTTGATGTGCACGGCTGCTGGTATGGCCTAGTGACACATCTCAGGAAAACATCTCCTAATGGGGAGACCAGAAAATCCAGGCCTTGAATGTGAAGTGATAGCTGTAGTCTCAGTCAAGGGTCCGAAGAGACTGACGTAGAAATATTAACACAGCTACCTTTAGTTTAAGGTGGGGAACCATTGCCAAAGGAATTGTCTAAATAATAGCTAGTATTGGAAAGAGGTATTGTTTAGGTTACCACAAGGGCTGATGTTACGATGAAGGGGTAAACATAAGGCTTGTATCCTTTGTAGCATTCTCATGTCTGCTTTTTGTTTGGGTTTGGGATTTTTATCTGTTGAGTATACTTAGAAACATGGAGTAACTTAACTTCTTGCATCATTTAAAACTAGAAAATATGCAGGTGGAAGATGCAAACTTAGCTAGAGATGAAATGAGTTTGACTTTCATTCCTGTTCTGTTCATACTAATGGACAGGAGACTAATTGCATTTTGAGTTTGTTATCTTGCTCCCAGTGTTGGTTGGGGAGAAAGTCTCACTGGTGATGAGAAATGAGAATTTTAAGAGCAGTCCTTTTCAGAGAGTATGTGTTTCAGAGACAACGCTGTCTCTTAGTCTATGGTACGCTTGGAAAGAGTACTTTGTGGAGATTAAAATGAAGCAGAATCTTCAGTTCTTCTATCTTTAATTCTCACAGTTAGGGCCTTATGTGGCAAAGCCTTAAGGGAAGAGCAGAGCTGTGACTGAGATGGGTACCCTCCTGCTCCACTGGAGGAGGACAGGAGATAAAGCCCAAAGTCATTGAAGATCCAAACTAATGCCTTAGGTTGGAGAAGAGGAAAGGATGCATCAGTCAGCTGCTGCCATGTAAGCGCTAACAGCAGTTGTTTGTCTGTCTGTCCTCCATTGCCTACAGTTCTGTATCACTTGTCATTTGGTACTTACCTCGTGTAGGATTTTTGAAAGTCCTTCTTTGTGTGCCCAAGTCTAACGTGTCGCAAAGTGAAAACAAAAGGCTGACTCAAATTCAGAAAAAGCTGAGCTTTTTGTGACCATAAACATCCATTTAGTCCAGCAGTTATGGACTCTCTGATCATCTGGGTAGGTGAATGCTGTGTTGGGTTTTTTTTTGTTTTGTGGGGTGTGTTGTTTTTTTTTTTTTAATAAAAACTAGGAAGTAGGCATTGGTACAAATGTGAAGTTTGGGTTTCAGATCCCTATTAATGTTACAGTAGAAGTTGAATAGCTCAGACATAAATTGCACTTGCTTTGTTTGACAGTACGTCTGCTCAAATTGCATAAGAAAGTCCATTAGCCTTTCAAATCTAAAACTGGGAGACAGCATACCAGAAAGATGGATACAAATATTAGGTCAAATAGCACAGTCAGTTAGTCTGCTAACTAGCCCAGTAATCATTATGTTGTCTTTTCTTCCTTTCCCATTGCCTTCATTTAGCTTTGGGTACTGTTTGTTTCCTGGTGTGCAGTTTTCTTGAATGAGTGTAGTTGGGGTGGATGGTGCACTGCAATAATTAAATGAGCTGTAGAAGCGTAAGGTAAGTCTGCGGCAAAGGTGTTTGACCAGAAAACATGCGGTGGTGAAGCTCCTATATGCTCTGAATGGACACATAGAGTGTTCTAGCTTCTGCTTCTAAGTGTTTGCAGCCTAAAGTCTGGTCAGGGCAGGGCGTGTGGAGAAGACCGATAGAAATCTTGAAGTATTTGTAAAGAAACTAAGCCGTGGTAGAGGGGAGACTTTTGCAGTAGGTCATCCCTCATACAATGTCTGATGAGTCACTGTTTTCATATCTATAGCTCCTGTCACAATCCTGAAATGAAGTTATAGTACTGCTGGATTCATTGCTTCCAGTACAGTATTAAACTAATGTAGGAAGAGCAGCAGTACTCCCTTGTGCACCCAGCAAGGTGTAAATACTCCTTTGAGGGTTGGAGACGGGAGCAGTCCTTCCGTCGTTTGTTCAGCTGTAACCCCAGTGTGCTTGCCTGTTAGGTAACTGCCTGGCTCTTGAGCAGTTTGTATTGGAGGTTAGTGCAAACTGTGGCGGTGTTGCCTGTGTACAAACTCTATGTAGCTCCCCGCGTAGTTCCCCTCTGGGCTGGGGGGTGTGTTACAAGACAAGATAAATGTTTTTCGGAGGCCTGATGTCTTAATACTTTCCTGATTGTGGTTCTTAAGACTATGGTTTCATGTGGCTGTAACATTGATCTGGTATCCTAAACTGTACCCTGGTTATCCCAGCTCTGTGGAGTTGTGCTAAAGCTCTCTGCTGATCAGTGCTAGTTTCAAATGGTAACCTAGTTAATGGGCAGTACTGGGAAGTATGGTTTTAATTGTTAACATCTAGGCTTCTTTCCCTTCCATTTTTCATTCTGCACTTGCTGGCATCATCTAGTATATTCTACAACTGATTTTTCAAAAAAAGTTTTCCTGCCACCATCGTGTAGTTCTCTAGTAAATAAAAGTAATTTAGCATTCATTCATGAGAACTTTCAAAATGCTGTATTACTCCAGTAAATGAATTTTGTAAATGAAATTTCCCCCCTTGAAAGGGAAAAACTATATAATAAAATAAAGGTTCTGGCTACCAGTGTAAAAATGGTATTGCAGTGTTTTACTAAGTGAGAAATAGGAAAAGAATATGAACATGAAATATTGGAGGAAACTGCCCTTCCCATAATTTGGGAGCCTGTTGTTCCAGGTAGAGGACAGCTGAATTGGAAGTCCCTAAACAGTCTGCTATTTTCACCTTCTTGCAAGCCTTTTCTTCTGTTGCACAGAAGACTCATTACACCACTGAAGAAAGTAACCTGCATGGGTTTTTTTTTTCCCCTCTCTCTAGACTAGCGTGGTTAACTATATTGACCAGAGAACTAAACCAAGAAGTGACCAGCTGTTTTTTGTGGTATTTGAATGGAAAGATCCTTTTATACAGACTGTTCAAGATGTAAGTAATGCTAGTCCCTTTTTGAATCGCTGTCTGACTGTACATGCTCATGGTTTGTGTGTGTGTGGGTGCGTGCCTCTGTTACCTTACTCCAAGGAGAAATTCAGAGGAAGAGTGAGGTTACTTCTGAAATTTCAGTCTAGGCTCTTTCTTACATCCAGTAACGCATGTTCTGTGGAGGTCAAGACGAACTGATGCCTTTTGTTGGCTTGGTGACGCTCAGCATTCTGTTTGCAGCTAGAGGTACACGTAGCTAAGAAAAAGGACCTGTCCCGTCCTCTAGCAAGTGTAGTTTCTGAACTTTTTGCTTAAATAAGTGTGCTGGGGTAAACGGATTTAATGACTTTTTTTATTAATTGACAAGTCAGAAATCTAGGCTTAAATCAGAATAATAAGAATAAATAACTAGTGTATTTTTTACCCCTTATTTGAATAGAATTTGCTATTGCATTCAAGTGCACAAAATGCACTTTAAAATTTAGCTCAATATTCTGCAGCCAGAGGTTATGATGTGCCAGACAAGACTACCATCGGTCACTGGAGTGCTTAAAAGGCACGCAGGTGCGTGCTGTGGGTACATGCGCTTTTAAGCATGTGAGCTAGATCTTGTTTTTCTGGTGTTCTAGGGGAGAAGGTCAGATACATTTGTCCTCCCCAGAAAAACATAGAATGGCAAAGTGTGCAAAGACAATCTGTTTAAAATTTTGCATTTAAAACGGCCCTACCTGACAACCAAAGTCCATCACAAGCAAAATCCATGGAGTTCTTGTTTTCTTGCCCAAAACCAGAGTGCAAATGCAGACTGTGTGAGGCAGGATTGGGTCATTGGCCGTTCGCACTTCTGCTGTCATGTCTGTGCTGGGGCTGGGCACCCTCCTCAGTGCAGGCACCTCCTCAGCCTCAAGAGCCCAGTCCTATTCCCGGCACCTCTCGCTCCTCTCTGCCAGATGGGGTTCACACCTCTGCTGTCTTCGAGCTGAAAGCTGCCCTTGATCCAGTGGATTGGGGGTGCTTGTTTCCTCTTGCTGAAGAGGCCATAGTTCACAAGCACTGGCAGCCAGCGCTGCTGCTTTTAGGAGGATTAACAGCTACGGAAAGCCTGTTTAAGACCTTCTGGCTCTGGTGGTGACCTAGTGATGCTATGCGCATGCTGACCGCCAGAGTTGCATACTCCATGGCGAGTCCCAAAGCTGCGTGCTACTTTATTGCTGCCTAATCCTAGCTCTGCTTGCTTCATCTGGGATCCTAGAAGTCATCCTTGTGCCTAGAGGTGCGAGGAGAATTGCAAACCATAAATAAACTTTACTCTTGAACCAAATGTAGTTAAAAATAGAAATATAAAATACTTGCTGTAGGTCTGCAGAAAGAGTTGCTGCTGTCAAAAGCTGGTTTAGCATTACAGTGCTGTCTTGGTAAAGCTTTCCAGTAATTGCTGCTTTTAGCTTTGTCTTCTGGAAGATCTTCTTCAATGTGACTGCTTATTTTTGTAAATCTTTAAATAATATAGTAAATTTTATCTATAAAGTTAGCAATTTAATTGTATCTCTAAAGTTTTAAACAATTCCATATCCTGAAATAGTCTAAAAGGAATTCAGCAACTACTACAGTGTGTTTTCTTCCTGATGGAAGGAATCAGAAAACCATGGTGTGAGGCAGATGTATGGAGAAGGCACTACAGGCCACCTTTGCAGCGTGAAGGAGTATGCTGCAAAACACTTCAGTTTGAAAAATGTTTGTTATTGAATAGGTATAATATATGCTGAGTCAGATGAGGGGAATAATATTTTTTAATCTCTTTCAGATTATCACAGCAAATCCCTGGAACATGATTGCTCTTCTTTGTGGTATCTTCTTGGCTCTGTTTAAGGCAGCAGACTTTGCTAAGTTAAGTGTTAAGTGGATGATCAAAATCCGAAAGAGACATCTGAAGAGGAGTCGTCAAGTAAGGAACCACATAAACTGAGACTAAGACTGCCTTTTAACTATTCATAGCAGAAGGGACAGAAAATAACTGGAATAAACTTCAATCAGCAATACAGCAATTAAAGATGCAAAACAGGTATGTTTTCTTCTGGAAGAACGATGGCTGGAAGAACAGCCTAGTGAACTGGCCTTTGAACTTCAGAAAGGAGCTAACTCTAGGACAGGTCTAACAAACTCATGCTTTGCTATTCCAAATTTAACAAGCTTATCTCAATGTATGGGGGGACCAGGGAGAAAGGAGAAATTTCACTAATGTTCAGAAAGTCAACACTGTAGCGGTTAAGTTCTAAAAAAATGGACGGTGTTTGAATGCTTCTCAGAACAGGAGACCATTTAGCTTCTGCATGAGCAATGACCTGCCTCTGCTACCGTAACGCAGTTACTTCTGTGACTGTGTTTAGTGGAAGGTAAGCACTCAGCAAAACAGTCTGGCCTCCCCTCTCCAAAGTATGTGTTAAAACAAAATACACTGGAATTCTCTTATGTGTCATTTTTGATTTAAAGTATAGTGACTTTAATATTAAAAAATACTTCAAATAAGATATTGTGTACATTCTTTGAAACTACCTGCTCTCAGATTCAGCTGGAGCTTTACAGGAGGTAGTCCAGGCAGGAGTATTACAGGTGAGAAACAAGAATCTGTTCCTGATCAGTCCAATTCAAAGTAAACTCAAACAACAAAATACCTGGGCATCTGAGCTGATGATGGATTTCAAAGCCTGTCTTGGCTGTTGCTCTTCCCTCCTTCCCCCAGTCTTTGCTAAGGAAGTGAAAAATAGTCTTTCATCAGCCCGGCATTTAAATATGATTCTCTATTATATAGAGAATGCGTGCTAACAAACTGTGCTGTGGTGGTGTACTCGTTTTCTTCCTTATAAGTCTCTTACTAGTCTAGATGCCTAACTCAGACTTGAGGAGCCTACAGGGCAGCAGCGCACCGTGTGTGTGCTCTGAAGGCTTTGTTGCAAGGAAAGGAGCTTCTTCCATCCTCTACTAACAGAGTATTAATATAGTAGTAAGCATATCAAAAGTACCCCCATCATTCTTTTTTTTGCCTTCTAAGGAAGCATTTTGGAACAAAACTTACTACTTTCAGCTGATTTCCAGAGCAAATCAAGGCACTGCATTGACCAAACACAGCCGTAAACAAGGGAGCAACAATTCACTGTGATAAGAAAAACAAAAGAGCAGCTCTGGCTGTAGGCAGCACACAGGTTTTCCTGTGTCCAGACAGCTGGGGCTACAGCCTACCAGTCACTTGCAGTGACCCCTCTCACCTCTTCCCCAGGTCCTGCGTTGGTGCTTCAAGTGGTTCATAATGTGAATGGTATAGTCTGAGCTAACTTGATCACGCTCTTCTGGAGGAAAAAAACCACATTTGGATGCTAGAATAGGTGGTGGTCAGTCAACGGTTTTTGTTCAGTGCCTTCCAGTGATGGTCCACAGGGCCAATGCTGCACAGCCTCGGTGAGGCAGGTTAGCCTAGTGCATGGCAAGTGAAGGAAGTTACGCTAGAGGGGAGGGAGGAATAGCAAAGACCAAATGCTGCGCTGTTAAAGCAAACTGTTTGAGAGCTGCTTCAGCCCTAGGTGCTGGTGTGTTGGGGAATGGGACAGAAACTCGGGGGGGAGGAGGGAAATGGGGGGGGTGGGAATAAAAACTCCACACTTATCAAGAAAAACCCTGTTGATTTTGCTACATAACAGCCTACACTGGTAGAAAAGCATTCCACTGACTTCCCTGGTCAGCTTATAGCCCTTCGCTTTCCCAAAAAGACAGCTGAGGGCCTGTTGTACAGGTAAGACAGAGACAACAGCTTTCTTAACTCCTCGCTGTCAAAGAAACACCCAAGTGTTCCCTTTAACAAATGACATTACAGCAGCTATTTCTTGGATTTTACAAAAATATTTAGAAACAACAATTTGATCGGGTGCTGATGTACCCTACTGCATTTTTTTTTGTTCTTTTTTTGCAAATGAGGTCAGAGAAGGTAAGCTGGAAGACAACTTAGCCCCACCTCTGGGGTAAGTAGGAGGTGTGGTTAAATACAGTATTTCTGTATTTCTGCATTATTTAATGTACTTCATTTTTAAAATAAATTCCCATAGTAGTAAACTTCAGTCACTACATCTCAGCTATCAAGAGCTGTTGTTTGATAAGGAAATGTTGTTACTAGAGCAGGCCAGCTGGTGCCAGCCAAGAAACCTTTCTTTTATATACCTATTTATAGGAGTGATTCTAATAGCAAGTGTTGCACAATTTGTTTGAAATGGCCTCTTATAGCTACAGCTACAGTAAATTTTTGAACAACTCATAACACCAGTAATTGTTCTTTGTACCACTGCAAGGTAAGTGTTAGATTCCCCAATGTCTGTATAGGACATTTAGACTGTAGGACAGCTGAAAATATTTTATATCTCAAATTGGGGATTTTATTCTTCTATGGAAAAAAGGCACTAAAGTACTAAACTGAGGTAAACTGTGTCTGCGTGACTGTCATCTCCCTCCTTGAGCTGGCAAAGTGCACCCTTGCAGGCCCCACAGTGTTTAACATCTGGTTTCAGGACTTCAAAAAGCACCATGAAAAGTAAAGGATTTTCTTCCCCCCAAATTTTGGGCCGCCACTTACCATGGCAGAGTCTACTTTGGTCAGCTGATTAGCTAGTCTTTTTATATAAAACTGACATCTAAAGAGCAGCAACTAATTGGTTTTGATCAGACGGAGCTGTTGGAAGTATAAGCCACTTCAGGCAGCGTTATTCCTGTTTCCTCTGTGAAACACAACTACTTAGAGACAAAAAATGAGGTAACAATAAAAGTGTAATAAAGTCAACTCCAACAGTGTAGTAGAGACCTTTTTTCCCCTGGAAACTGCTTGAATAAAGTCAGTAAACCAGCCAAGCAATAGGTGAAACAAGCCCAGGACACCTGCCTCAGCTGTTCTGACCACCACCTGCTCTGTGCTGAGGAGAGCAGAACAAAGCCTTCCACCCTACTCACAAAAACAAAACCCCAGCGGCCTGCACCTCCAACACTTTTGCCACTTGGTGAAAAGCCACAGGTTATTCAGACACACATGCAGTTAAAAGGTTGTTTGTAAAAACCATTCTAGTTCTCCTGGTCTTTATAAACACAAAGATGTGATATACAGCACTAAATACAAACATAAAGACTTTATTGAATGCTGCTCAATTCCCCAAAGATCTTTCATTACAAAAGTTTTCCACACAACTGCAATTTAAGAGATTGGAATGGTACTCTGATAAAAGATGTGAAAAATACTTGATCAAGTAAACAGACAAGACTTCTATTGTCAACTTCCCACCTTTAAGAAACAGACTGCATTTTCTTTAAATAAAACAAGGAACTATTTAGTGACAGCCTTCCCTCTTTACTAAAAAAAGGTAATCCCAATTTTGGTCTCATTCTTCAGTCTATGAGATGCTAACACTAATGCAGAAACGTCAAGATCGTCTCTAGGAGACCTGCACTACTCCGCAGGGAGTCCGTGGGCTGATGAGGAGCATCATTGATGGGCTCTCTAGAGGAAGCTCCATCCTCAGCTGTAGCAGGAGGAAATCTCTAAGTAGCCCAGGACCAAGAGGCAGGAATAACGGGGTAGAGGCACTCACCAAGTGGTAGGTCAGACACGTGGACCACCCCAACCTGCTCAAGCTGGCTTTCTCTCCCTGCTTTGCCTCATTCTAATGTGAGCACTATATAAATCTAAATCTGAATCCAATCAGGAATTCATGGACAGCACCGTATCTGAGTTCCTTTCAGTGCTGGAAGGGGCACATACTGAATTATCTCAAGCTACTGATAACGTACCTTGGTTTTATTTCAGAAAATACAGCACAACTAGAAGCCTTTTCTATAATCTTAACCAAAGTATGCAGCGATGTGAAAAGCACATATAAAACAAGGAAAAAAATGTACATAGCAAACTATACCACCTATGTGCAACACAATCAAAAATTCAAGTCATAATTCTCACCACTCCCGTAATTATTTCACTCATTAAGGATGATAATTCAGTTCTATGAAACATTGGAAGTGACAGTATATCAATAATTAGACAAATTTACAATATGCTGTGGTAATGACATCACTTAACTGCTGTATTTAAATTCAAATCTTTACATTTGCCAGAGAAAAAAATTGGCTCTTTCTATTATACTGATGAGGTTTCTTTTGCAAATCCTTATATATTTCAAAAGGGTACAAAAAAGTATGTCTGCCGAGTAGAGGTGGTCATTTCTTTTATTTGGCACTTGCATTGTGTGCATTTAGCACATTGTGAGTGCTGTTCTGCTTTTCTGCCATAGCCTTCTTAAGCTTTAACTCCTCTAGCTTTCTCCACAACTCTTCACGTTCCAATTCTTTCTTTTTCTCTCTGTAGGAAAGA